CTCTCCAGGCCTCTGGGTTATGCCAGCTCCTTCTGTTGCCAGCCCCAGGTCCGTGCACCGTCTTTGCTGGTCTCTTTACGCTCTGTGCTCAGCTCTGTGAATCCTCCCTTTTGGAAACTCTCCTCAATTACCTGTTTAAATATCCTATCTGTCTGTGACCCTGACATGCAGATAGAGGGTCACCAGCTCAGAAGGCAGAGCACGGCCGAGGGTGTAAAGTGTCCCATGAGGCCACAAGAGGGGACCATGCCTGCTGTCTTACCGCCGAGTCACCCCTGCCTTCAGCTGAGACTTCCTGAGGGGGAAGCTCACATTATCAGGCTGGAGTGCAGGGGTTGGGAAAGATGGGTTTGCTCTTCTTTCCAGGTGAGGCCATGGGCTTCTCCATTGCCTTCCAGGTAGCCTCTCTGCACTGTTCATTGCAGGAAAACCTCTTTGGATTGGGAAGCCCACATTCTGGGCACATGAATTTGGTACCCAGATGGTGCCTGTATTTACAAAAGCCCAGCACACTGACAGGACCTGCAGACACATGGATAAATATTTTGCCTTTCTTCTTAGGCAATATTTGAGTCTTTCAAATTTAATTGTTGTCAAAGACAGGATGCTTGCATCCCCAAGGCGGAACAAATAGTGAGGGCCTTCAGTGGGGCTGCTCCGAAGGCTCCAGCCAGGTTCCCTGGCCAGCCACCTGCAGTGCCTGTCAGTCAGCTCCTTGCTCTTGCTGAGTGAGCGTCAAGTGGCCTCTTCCCACCCCAGGCCAGGTGGTCTGGAGGTGAGGGAGGCTATGGGAGCTGGCTGCAGCCTGCCTGGAACCTGTGGCCATTTGTTGAGTTTATTTTAAGGCTGAGAGAACATGATCTTAGCTAAGAAATCAGGCCCTTTTCTCAGACATTAGTGACGGGCACCAATCTAGTCATTATCAGAAGGATCCTGTTTTGTGTCCCCGAAGCTGTGTCCAGGGAGTGTTTGGTTTGATCTTGAAATCATTGTGGATAGAGCAGCTGCTAGTTTGCATGACATCTTTGTGCAAATTAGATGAAGGCAGCCCCTCTGGCAGAAGTATCCCCCACACCCTGCCAGGGCGCAAGGCTTGGCAAGCAGAGCAGCAGCTGGACTTCAGCAGCCAGGTGTGCCCAGGAGATGCTCTTGTGCAGGGCACACCTGCTCAATTGTACATGTCTGAGGTCATTGCTGATGGTATTCTTGTTACAACCCTCTATCCTTTATATCTTCCTTTCCTCTTTCTTTTTGTCCTCTTTTTCCCCCCCGAACCATTGACCTGGTTGCCCCTTGGATTGCATTTACAAAGTGCAGAGAGAGGCTGATTGATCAGCCTCTCCTTACATTGTCCAGACAGGACCGACTTGCTGTAGACTCAGAGTTCTGCAGCAATCACCTCCTTCTATTCATTACATTCTAATTTGCTTCAATTATTTTAATCCCTTGCATATAATAGAAGCAGTTGGATTTCTTGTCCACTGTGGTTTTACAAAGGGCACCTCATCCTCTTCATTCCTTTTTATCAAAGCACATGTTATTGGTGCTCACCCTGTGCTGGGGGCCAGGGAGATAAGATGAATGGATAAGACAAGTCCCTGCCCTTGAGAAACTCATAATCTAGTGGGGGAGTGAGGCGTGTAAACAGATAAATCACAGCCCTTTGGTGTGCTTGCTGCAGTAGGACAGGAGCTCCGGGAGAGGAGGCGGGGCCCAGTTGAATGCCTACTACTGGGTGCTGTGGGTGCACAGAAGGCTTTGCTGAGGAGCTGCCATTTGGGCCTCTTAGAGGAGTAGGTGTGTATCAGATGAAGAAAGTCAGGGAGGAGAGTTGGTGCAGAGCCATGAACGGATACGTCATACTCAGGGCAAGATGGAAAGGGCCGCCTGGCTAATGCTTAGGGTGTGTGATGGTTGGGGCCGGTGGGAGCTGGAGTCAGGGCTAGGACTTTCTGCCTGAGGAGTGTGGGGTTTATCCTGTGTGTAAAAGTCTGGAATACACTCCAAGAAGCAGTGTGGAGAGCGGCCTGGAGGAGGGAGACTCTGGTCAGAGAATTCTGGGTTTCAGTCCTGGCACTGCTACTTCCTTGGGCTAGTCACTGATGCGGGGTCGGTGAGCCGAGGAGTCGAAAGAAAGATTTCTTAGACTCTCAAGATCTGGCAGTAGTGCTCTTTTATTTAGAGAATAGTGTGGAATAGCATGGGGACAGGACCCATGGGCAGTCAGAGCTTCTGCTGCCGCCGCTTCTGCTGCCCCCGCTGGCATGGGGACAGAGCCCATGGGCAGGCAGAGCTGGTGCGTGGGGACAGGACCCACAAGCAGTCAGAGCTCCTGCTGCTGCCCCGAGTTGAGGGTTAGGGCTAAATTTAAGGCATAGGTATGTGAGTTATCTCTTTACAAGACAAAGAATATGTAAAAAAGTTAAAATGGTATCAGTGCCCGTGTGGTCTGGCCATTTGGCGGTCCCACAACTTTTAGATAAGAATCAAACCGGATTGAGTAAATGTCAGAAGTCACCGCTTGAATTTTATCCTCGGCTAAAGACAAAGGAGGATTCGTGGCGGGGGGGGGGGGGGGGGGGGGGGGGGGCGGGGTCAGTTACATGAGGTTGCCAGACAGTAACCAACTTAAGTTCTTGCCTCTGGCATTGACTAAGAGCTTCTAGAGATAAGACCATCCCCCCTTCTTCCTGGCACAGAGAGGGAGGCATTTTCACAGATAGAGGTTTCCCTTAGAAATGTAAATGTTTCCCAACAAAGGGGCAAACAAATTCCACTCCTTGGAGCCTGAATCTCATTTGTAGTTTTAAAACTAACCAGCCTAAAAATCCTCATCAGTCACCACTTAATCTTCTTGAGCCTCCCTTTTCTCATTTGTAAAATAGGGATGATGATCACACTAACATCTACTTAATTGGGTTGTATAAAGGATTAAGACAGACAATATCCACAACAGAGTTTCCTGTTGTTGGGACAAATACAGAACATGGATGGGTTACAAGTATATTGGAAACGTTGGTTCCTTCAGCCTTCAGGGAGGCTGGACAGGGCCCAGGCTGCCATATCTGTTTATCCTGGGTGCCTTACACACATCTTTTCTATGTGCACCATGACATGAGTGAAGTTGGAAACCACTGGTCTACAAGGCACTTGGAAAGTCTCTCCTACCTACTAAGTCCTCAGTATATGTGACTGTTTGTTGAGTCTGGTCTTTGTATTTGTACGACGTCTAGAGAGGAAGTGCGGATAGAGATGAGAGGCTGGATTCCAGGGACATTTCTGAGGCAAAACTAACAGAATTCGGTGACCAGTTGGGTATTAGGGAGGAGGGACACGTCTAGAGAGGGGGAGGAATTGGGGATGACCATGGGATTCATGATATTGTAGACTGGATGAGAGGTCACGCTATTAAGGGAATTGCTATGGAAATTAGAGCACGTGGGTTTGAGGTACGAATGTGAGTGAGGAAGTGGAGACTGTCGGGTAGAGTACTTTTTCAAGAAGTATAGCAAGTTAGGGAAGAAGGCAGACAGGGTCGGATTGTGGTTGGGGGAATGCTGGGGGTATTAAGAGAATTCAGAACATTTGTAGGCTAAGGGGACGAGGCAGAAGAGTTGAAAAGTTAAAGAGAAAAGGAAAGAATGCATAATACTCTTCCCAAACTTTGACTCTGGACAGCGTCTGTCCCATTGGAGGACTGTCTGCCAATAATTGTCAGTTGGGCAGTTGTCCAGATATGATTTACAATAAGGCATCGGTTTCACGAGAGGCGCTGTCTAAATTACTGCACTCCACCAATTGCCAGGTGCCCTGCTGACAGTGAGCCAGGGGTCAAACAATTCAATCAGGTGCCACCACTTATAAATTGAAAATCAGTGGGGTGCAAAATGGATTACCATCAAAATCCATTCAGGTGCAAAACCAAATTTTAAAACCCCTAACCTTTAAAACTCACTCCTTTCCTGATTCTTCACAATGCCATGACACTGAGTTTTAATATCCCCCAGATAAGCAAGCATCAGTAGAAATGCCTGCAGGAGACCAAAAGTAACAAGGGAAGAACTTGTCATCACGCCTTCCTTTTGGAATTTGCAAACATGGTGGGTTTATGAATTAGTACATTGGTAATTCTTTTAGATTCTTTAAGGCAGCAGCTCTTAAGTGTGTAACAGAATCACCTGGAGGGCTTATTAAAATTTGGATTGCAGGCTCTTCCTCTGAGTTTCTGACTCAGTAGGTCTGGGGTTAGGCCTGAAAAATTGCATTTCTACCAAGTTCCCAGAGAATGCTTATGCTATTGTCCCAGGAACACACTTTGAGAACCTCTGCTCTAAGGTATAGAAATATTTTGATCATTTGGCTAGCAAAGCATGCATGGATTGATAACTTGTCAGTAGAGGTCCATTTGGGCCAGGTGCTGAGTATGTTAAGGGGCCTCAATTTGGTTCAAAAAACCTGAGAAGAGACTTGTTCAAGGACATACAGACTGATTTGAGTGCTTTGTGTTCAGAAGTGAGGCTTAGGGGTGTGGAATAGAGAAAAGGGAAGAGGCCCCCTCTAGTTCACCATTCTACAAGACAGCATGTACTTCAAATGACATCATGAAGGCTGAAGCCTGGTCTCTATTGGTCTGTGGGTGCAAAGTATTAAATTCTTTCCGTTGCCAAAATTCCTCCCTTGACTTGAAAGCTGATTTTCTTAAAGTTAAACTAACATGGGTACTACTTTCTTAGCAAGCTGCTATCAGCCTAAACTTTGGCTCTTCCCACCTCTGAATGATCCCAGAGATGTATTTTTCTATCTAAATTGATGCTGTATGATTTTAGTTCTACTCTCTTGCTTTTTTGGAGTTGAAGTTACTACCTTGTATAAACTGTAGGTGTGACCAGGTTCAATATGAATGGAGTCCCTTTCTCCAGGACAGAAGAATGGATCCCAGGAACTGCCCCAAACATGGCTGCTACCTCATTAACGTTTGGTTTCCTGTCTCTCTTTGCCAGGAGAAATTGAGCGATGCACGTACATCAAGTACCACTACTCCTCAGCCACCATCCCCAGGAACCTCACCTTCAACATCACGAAGACCATCCGTCAGGATGAGTGGCACGCCCTGCGTAAGTACACCTGAGTGTCTTTCTTTGGCTCTGGCCTCTGGAGTGAGTGAAGGTTTGGATGCCCATCAACAACTTGGTCTGGATGGAGGGATGCGGCGAGCCCTGTGGACAGTCTTAGAACGTGGTGGCAATTCCTTAAAGTGTCAATGCCTGTGGGTCAGAATTGCTTCAGCTGGTTTTGGTTGCATTACAGATTTGAGGAGTTTGCTTCTAAAATTTAAAAAAAAACAACTAGCAGTTAGACAATAAGTGATGATCTTACTTCACTACTCTGGTAGACGTTTAAGATTTCACCTACTTGATGGAACCAACTCCTGGGATTTAACTCTAGCACATCTCCAAGTTGCTTGGAGTATTATTGTGGCAACCTGTTAATCCCTTGTGTCATCCTTCATATGGGGTAAGACCAGCTGCTGGTTGCAGGCTGTGTCACATTGGAAATTTGCATCTAAGTGGGGTCACTAAGGGGTAGGATCTGGTCCTCAACTTGCAAGTTTCTGTTCTTCTAAAATGATAGGCTTTGGGATCCTAGTTCGCATGCAATTGTTCAGTAAAGATCAGAATATCTGCTTCCATTGGTTAGGGAGTTTCTTGGTCAGGACTCCTCAGAGACTGAAATTATGACGAGAGGGTGGCTTACTGAGCAAACAGAGTAAGTAGACTATTTTTACCTTTCTGCCCCGTGGGGTACCCCTGCTTGTCTGCGTCAGGAAAGCTCTCCATTGCTGGCACAGTTCTTGATGTGCACACATTGGTACTGTTAGTAGCTCTGTGCTGCCTCTGTTGCATTTGTCATTTCTTTTCTATTCCAGCTTTTTTCACATAATGTCACAAGATTAAGATTCAGTGTACATTTATATGTGAAGGAGGGTCTTTTATTGTTTCCTAAAAACAAGGATCCTATAATTAGTAAACTTTGAAGAAGGCAGAAACCATCTTTCGTCTGTTTCTTGTTGCCTGGTTATCTTTTGCATGCAGAGGGTCCACCAGGTATATTCCACTTTTTGGTTTGGCTTTAATCAAATAAGCATAGCTTGGTGTGGGAGGCGAGGGAGACAAATATGATTAAACAGAGCAATCATTCACTGGTTTCGGGAAAAAAGATTGTTGCCAGGTGTCTGGATGATTGTTACCAGTGCCACTGGTCTGAAACAATAGGGCAAGTGTCATGGATGGAAAGGCATTAACCAAAGTGTTGCCTGTACAAGCTTTATCATTAGTAGAGACACTAACCAGAACATGGGGACAAGGAGCTAATGTCAAAGAGCATTTCTATGTGCTAGACATTGAGCTAATCATATTACTTATTTGATTTTAATGTGAGATTTGCTCTAGAGACACTAGTAATCAAGGTTAATAATTTCCTTTTTGGAAGTAGACATGTAAAGAGCCAAATGTATAAATACCTGACAATGAGTGCTTATTTCCCATGTTGCCATGGTCCAGTGTAGTCACTTAATAGAAGCCTGAAAGGGATGTTCAAGATACCTGATAAGTCATGTTGAACAACCACTTAAATAGAACTTAAGTTATGGGCTTCGTAATAGAATCTAAGAAGGAAGATGTTATTGACATAGCAGCTTCGATTCAAATTTACTCAATTCAACCAAAGTTATGGAGTTTCTCTATGTACTAGGCACATAGTGGATACTGTGCCATAGGGAGTTCTTTCTAGGAGCTCGCATCTGGAGGTGGAGGAGGGTTGGGGGGAGAGAGATACGTTCACAAAGCAAATAATTACAAAGCAATGCAATAATTATGATATAGTATAATTGCTTCAAGCAATTAAAATAGTTTGTGAAAGTTTTCCAGCAAGAAGGAGAATTATTTTAGCATAAAAATGCACTTCAAGGGAAACCTGGTAGAACTGTTTTGCCTGTCCACACAGTTAGATAGCTGGAATTCAAGAAGATTACCCATCGTGGCATTGCTGAGAATACATTACACGGTGTCAGCAAAGACGGAGACGGGAGGCTAATGCCAAAGTTTCTGTAACCTTTTCTAAGCCTGATGTCTCCAGGGTCCTCTTTCCCAAACTGTAGTGCTGTTGGGTTCTGCAAAATCTAGTGTGCAGTTTACGTTGTGAAGTGCGGTGCTAACATCTATTTTTAACTGATGAAAGCCATCCAGCGACTGATATTTGCAAAGGTTTTGGGCACCCCGTGTTGGGTGAAGTGAAGGCTACCCTTTGGTGTGAGAGATTCATCTGCCTCTTTCATGGAGTAGCCTAATGGGCTGTTAAGCAGGCAGAGAACATTTGCCATTTCTGGCTTGATGACAGCTATTTTTAGCCAGAGGGCAGGTGAGCATCTGTCACATCTGAAGTTGGTGCTAAGTGTCATTGGCAATGCTGGTACAGTGGTGAACCAGTGTAAACATCAATTTCAATTTTCAAACGTCAGGTATTGCTGACATTAGGTGGGGAGTGGGCACATCAGCCCCCTTTGGAATAAAGTAGAAGCTATCAAAGATTGGCAAACTCCTATGATTAAGCTTTGGAAACTAAAAAAAAAATCAGACTCTGAATTCTTATTGAGAGAACTATACTCTTTAACACTGAAAATGGGATCAAATAAATTCATTTAATGCTAGATTGGTTATTGTTTTATAATTTGACCATATCTTACATTCTGTAATTTTTCTGGGTAGGTAATTTTTGCCAAAGGCAAGAATCTTTTTTTTTTTTTCTGAAACAACTTCTGGCAAATATTTTGGGCTTTGGTTAAACTTAGGTTATACCTTTTTTTTCTTTGCAGGGGAAAATTCACCCTAACCTAACATCTGTTGCCAATGTTCTTACTTTTCTCTTCCTTTTTTCTCCACCCCAAAGCCTCAGTACCTAGTTGTATATTTTAGTTGTAAGTCCTTCTGGTTCTTCTATGTGAGCTGCCACCACAGTGTGGTTACGGACAGATGAGTGGTGTGGTTCTGCACCTGGGAACAGAAGCCGGGCTGCCGAAGCAGAGTGTGTTGAACTTTAACCACTAGGCCATCGGGGCTGGCATAGGATATACATTTTTCATCAGGAATTTGCGTGTGGTCTGATCATCAGCCATCAATGTGGAAAAAAACCTTTCAAATAGGAAAAGCACAATTTAGTTTAAAATAATGCTGTGGTTTTTGAACAGTTAACCCCACCAATGGGAGGCTTAACTGCTTGGCTGAGTGCCCATTCACCTTACTTGTGGTGAAGTGAATAGCAGGTGAAAGAATAAAATTATCTGTAGGCCATTAGGCTTACAAATCCAAGTGAAAGATAATCACCACTATGGGGAGAAAAGAACAGCGAATCAAACTTCTGTGTGTGTGTGTGTGTGTCTGTGTGTGTGCGTACACACGTGCCTGTGCTGGCCTCTGAGGTTCAAGTGTTGAGTTGTCTGGGTGACCAGGTTCTGACTCGCTTGTATGACGATTGCTGGGGAGGTGGTGTGTGTGCCTGTTTCTCCTTCCCACCCTGGGGCTTCCCGAGAAAAGGCAGAACTCCTTCTGGAGATGGGACCTGTGCCCTCAGTCCACCGAGGCCTGGCCGTCTGCCTGGGGCAGCCTACCTGCCTTCCTACCAGCCTGCTGCCTCCTATTAGGTCCCAGAGACACAGAGCTGTGCTTATCCAGGCTCTGTGTGTGCCAGATGTGCTGCACTCCTGACCCAGATTCTCCTGCTGCCCCAGGACTGGAGCAGAACAGGTGTGTGTCACTGGGCCAGTGAGGACGGGACGGGGGCTGCAGGAGATGAGCTTGGCTAATGCCCCTCTCCAGGTGGGTTGTCTAGTTTAATGTTGTAAATGTGACAGAATCCGATTAGCACGGGTCAGAGGAAGCAGGCTGGCACGGCAGTGGCATCTTAAATGATGCCACTTCCTCCTCTCACTAGAATATGTTCCCACAGGCTTTTTGTGCCACACAGTTCAGTCTGAGGTTGCAACACTTGTTTGGAGAATTCTATGTCCTCATGCAACCCCCAAGAGCCCCTGAGGCCATCCCAAGTGGCTCTCCATTGCTCTCTCTGCCACTGGAGTCCCTTTGGCATGCCCTTTCAGCACATCTGGGAGCCTGGACACTGCCCAGGAGCAGGGCAAGGGGAGATGGGTGGGAAGGGAGCCTGGGTGGCCTGGAACAGGGATCAGGCAGCCAGGAGGCCAGAAAGCATGGTCTGGGAAGAGGTTGTTGCTGAGAGGTGGGTGCTTCTGCAAGAAGATGCCGGCATGGAGTGGAGCTGCACCAGGCAACCCCAGGTGGCTTGCGGGGGCACTGCAGAGGAGCCTACCTGGGGGCCACAGGGCAGGTGCCACCAGGAAGGTGTGAGGAGAGTGGTTTCTTTCCCCCTGATCTCCTGATCTCCTTGGTGGGGACTCTGGGCACCTGCTGCCAAGCTTCCCTCGGGGTCTGAGCCCTGAGACTCTGAGTCGCTGTGCATGTGAGCTCAGATTTTCTCATTGCACTTGGCATTTTCAAGATGGAGGTTTCAGCTCACAGTTGATTGCCCCTGGCAGTGGGAATCAGGGAACTGGGACTCCGCTTTCCTGCAATCAGATCCTCTCTGTTATCTTTCAAGAGGCTGAACGCCAAGAAAGCTAGAGTCTTTTTAAAGCCTCCTCTGTCAAGACTGAAAGTTCAGCTAATTAGATTGGATGGTCACATGACACATTTCCAGCTGGCCAGGGAGGGAAAGAGAGAGAAGATCTTCTCCCCCAACATCCCTGCTCCCTACTCCGTCCTCCTGAGGGCACTCATCCCTCACACCACACTACACATATGCACACTCACACACACACACATGCTCACACGGCAACCCTGGAAAGCGGAATCAGAAGAAATAGGATATGTAGTTAAAGAAGAGGGCAGGAGTATTGGGGAGGGAGGGAGGGGAGACAGACAGGCAGAGATAGAAACAGACTTGTGGAGGAGCAAGGACGTTTCAGTGGACATGCTGCTAAGGAGAAGAAATCAAAATCCAGAACTGTCTTGTCTAACGCAGACACCCGAATTACACACTTGGCTCC